ATAAACCTTGCACGTCACATACCATGCTTATACCACTTGGTCCCAATGTCCATTTATATTAATTAAGACCCTTCTCAATATTCCCATTATTTCCCTTTTTTGTTAGTCATCTCACCTAACTCCTTGTCGCCAGTCTCGACTTACTCGATAAAAATCATGTGGACTTTGGGCTTTCATAAGGCTTGGTACCTTACCAATTGTAACACCCCAACCCAATTTAACCGTTTTATTCAATTTACTCAATTCTGAATTTACAATTTTTCCTTTAGGGGTAGGGTCACTTTAGTCACTTTCGATTCGTAAGGATTTGGGGATTTGAGTGGCACCATTGCGTAGAGCTCGCTCTCATGAGTTCGTAGACATGTAGCCTAAATTGGAGTTTTAACAAAGAAGTTGTGGTCAACAGAAGTGCAGTGACACAATTGTAATTTTTTTGAAGTTGGATTTTAAAAATAGATCATCTCTCTCTCTCTCTCTCTCTCCTCTCTCTCTCTCTCTCTCTCTCTCTCTCTCTCTCTCTCTACCCAACCCAGTACTTTTCGTAGCTCGAAACCACCGGGATAGTCAACGGTATTGACTAGAAGTTTTGGAAGAAACCTTTCTCATCGCCGGCGACGTTTCTGGCCATCTTAGGCCACGCACCACTTAGATCAGGTAGCTCTCTACTCCTTCTTGCTTTTCTCTAGGTCGCGCGATAGCAATGGTGGCTATCACCATCATTTCAAGGCCAAGAAGTTTCAGCCAAATCTGCATTGTTCTTGCAAGTTTTTGGCCATGGTCCAAGAGCCAAAAATGCTCCCCTAGTTATACTTGTTCTTTTGGTATAGCAATTGTAGGGTGTTTCGAGAATTTTTCATTGCTAGGATTTTCTCAAGACACCCACGCTCTGCTGGAGGCGGGTGGCAACACGTATGCCACTATGTGTCGGTCTATTGTGTTCTAAACACTCCTCTTGTCGTCATGAGCATGATGGTATGCTATGATTTATAATTGGTTACCGTTTGATAGTTGAACGGATATTGCACCTATTATGCGATATCCGGGTTCGATAGGTTCGGATCATTCGATCGCTTTCAATTTCAAACATGTTTTTCTATGTACCTCTAGGATCGTGTAAGAACTTTCGGATCTGAAATCAGAGATCGTGGCCTTGCAAGCCTGGTTGACCATTTTGAGAAGTTTGACCACTTGATTGACCGTGAGTCTTCCGAGGTCGTTTCACCTTTCGAAAAGCATTAGTATGGCTTTAGACTCTCCCCATTAATCGTACACACTTGGTGTCCCGGGAAAGTTAGGAATTTGATTTGAAGTTATTGTTTGAAGTGCTTTATTTAATTAAGTCCTCGTGTTCTTCAAAATAGGTACTCAAGCTCCACGGGCTCAACATGCAAGACCCTTTCAGGGTCAAGCAACTTTGGATTATCTGTGAGTGGACTTTGGTTTTAAATGATCATTATTTTCAAAAATGGAATGTCATGCATTTATATATTTGATTATTTTGACTATTGGACTATGGAATTATTATAGTCATAACTTTGGTTTTGTATCGTTGTGGGAGTTTGGTATCTATATTATATATAAATATTTGGGTATGGAGTTATGGACGCTATTATTGTCCGGATGTCTATGTATATGGGATTGGGTACATTGGGATTATTTGGGAAATTAGATATGGTCATGGTATATGAGTTGCGATGTGGGATATGTTATATTGGAGTGTTGATAGCACCACCCTATGTACCTCATCGACACTTGGATACTTGGATATGTCGGAACCTGGGCACCTTTAGCGGGGTGTTTCGTAGGCCCTTGGTGGGGTAGTATACGCTCATAGGACTTAGTTCAATCGCACAAGTATTGAAGATTGTACTGTGCATGTCTAAGAGCCCAGTCCCCAGGTTGGACAGCTCGTTCCCTAACCACATGATTATTGAGGGTTCTTCCATGTGGTCTATTCAAACAATCCCCTTGTTGGATTGTTTCCATGGTACAAGTTTGGTAGTGGTCATGCTTATATGTATACTTATATATATATATATATATACAAATTTATTCTTATTTACTGGTGAGGATTCTTCCTCACTTGCTGTGCCTATAGGCATGTATTTTGGAAGATAGTGGTCTGGAAAGGCAAAAAGGTCCAGTTTGAGTTTATATTATATGCTATATTGGGATTATGGGATACCTTGATTTTAAAGCTGGTTATGTATATAAATGGTTTTTGTTGCATGTTTAGGCATCGCTTTCCAAAACGGTGGGGGTTAGTATGTTTGTTTTTGTTTGGGCCAAAATCTGGCCCACTCAGCCCAACACTAAAGAGCCTAGAAATAACAAAAGGCCACCAGGCCCACATCCAGACTTTGCAAACAGGAATCGAAGGCCCAAAAAACCAAAAGGACCCAGTTCGGAATTTATCTAGACATAACAAAACTTGGGCCTTGGAAAAAACAGAAAGAGAGAAATCAGCCCATAGCTCCGGACATTCAGACTGGGCCTGCCATGATAGAAAAAGAAGGGAAGCCCAAGACCAAATCAAAGGGCCCATGATTTTTTTCAAAATGGCAAATCAACCACTAAAGCTGATCAAAAGAAAACAAAAATCTTTTTGGAAAGCCTATTTTCAGAAATCATGTGGCTACCTGACTTAGAAAAAGTCAACAATTCCAACTATTGTAGAAGAAGTGATTGGGAGTTAAATGAAAGCAGGTAATTAAGCAAAAAGACTTCTCTAGAAATTCTGGGGCTAAAAGATCAGAATCCTTTTTTATACAATTTCGCGTCAGAGAAAGGTGATCCTTCTAAGAGATAAGCAGGGAAACAGGGAGTTGTTCAAACTGGAAAATCAAACTAAATATCACGATTTGAGCTCTCACAAAGGGGCAGTTGGAATTAAAGAGGGGTTAGGTTCTCTTTCAAAAATAAAGAAGTGATTTGTCTTAAAAAAAACTGACTATTGAGAGCCTATTTGCCATAATTGATAAAACCCTTTCTTCTTTGTATTTAAAAAAAATGAAAGATCTTTTAAGAATTTTGCCGCCCATTATTAAAAGAAAGAAATCTTACTCCAAAGCATTTCTTATAAATATAGGAGAGGGTGAACAGAGCAAAAGACACACGAAAAAACTCAACTCAACAATCAATCAAACAATGAAAAATCAACCAAAGGCAAAAACTCAAAATGATCACTTGATCACTGAGAACCTTCAAAACAAATTGAAGCAACCAAAAGCTCATCTAAGCCTCAAAAGAAACCAGCTATAGATCACAAGTTCCAAGTTCAGACTTAGAGAAACAAGTCATTCAAAACCAGACTTCTCTCGTTACAATTTTGGTTCAGCAAAAGCCAAAACAAGCAGAGTTTAAGTTTTCACAAATATGAAAACCTCAACAAATTTATGGAGAGCCCTGATCAAGCAAAACAGGTACCACAGTGCAATTCTGGCTCAGTAATCCTCAAGTCCAGCCACTTCTGCCCTGTTCAGACCAAAGAAGTTGCAGTTCTACCAGTTTGAAAAGCCTTCCAGGGCTTGAAGTGGATTAAAGCTATGCCAAAATTGAACCTTGGTATCGATTTACAGCTGAAGCTAAGCAGTTGAAGTTGTTGACAATTCAATGCAGCACAGATACACCCAGTCCAGCCCAGATAAGAAGCTTCTATCCAGACAGAAATGGAACTTTAGCCATCTTTTTGTCTTTCTAGAGTTGATTTTTCCCTCTCTAAGTTTTGTAAAAGGTAGTTATGCCTAAACAGTCTACTTTATTATCATTTATTCTGGCAAGAACTACCAATCTTGTACTGAGATAAATTGTGAAGTCCTCACAAGTCCTCACAAGAAAAGAACTTACTTGGGAGATATTCTTCACCCAAATTCACAATCGCTTGTTTAGAAATCAGTAACTTGGGGCGCAAATTATCCATTTCGAAGAAGTCTGCTAAGGTTTTCATTGCTAATAGTGGCACGCTTACACACCAAAGAAAGTTGGCTTGTTGACCAGTCAATGGTTTTCAAGGCAATGAGGAACTTTGTCATTCCATCACAGGAGCAAACATAAAAACGGGTGAACAGTTTTCAATTATGTTAAAACTTTATTTTGTTCACTAACAATTTTCTATTTTGTGCCCCCCATGCAGTAGCTTGACGTCATATGAACAACCAAACTGAGCCTTCCTCTTCTCGTGCCTCGACTTAATTGTAGGACACTTGTTGTCCATTTTTTGAAACTTTTAATTTGGTTGTTTAACCGGAGATATTTAGACTGCTTTGATATTGCTTGTGTAGGGTTGAATTTAGAGCCGGAGGCCTATTTTGTAATATGTGTGCTATTGTATTGTCCATGCTGGCAATTGGACTATTATTTTATGTCGTTTTTCACAGGTGGAACAATTTGGTAAAGTTCATTTTTCATGGAAGATTCTGCCAAAATTTTGGTAGGAGTCTCGACCCCTTTTCTTTTGTTTTGGAGAAGAATATGTTTTTAGTAAGTGGGTCCAATGAAAAATCGCAAGATTCGTCACGAATTTTGAGGAATTTGAGGCGGGTCCTATCACCAATAATTTGACTCAACTACACAAAATATCCTTTCCATTACCCTCATTTCCATAATTTCTTTTTCAACCCAAGAACTCCAACCAAATCTCATAACATAATGAAATTCTTAATATAATTTTTATGTTTATGTTTCGCATGCGTATAAAAGTGTAATAAATCAATCGTCACCAATAAACATGTGAGCATGCCAATATTAACTAGTAACACATTAATACTCAAAACAAACCATAATATAACATCAATAACACAAATCAAATTATAATATCAAGCGCGCACACACATCAATAACACTAATCAAATTATAATTTTATACTTGAGATTTCAAATTTGAAAGTTAAAACAAAAACATCAACTATTTCACACTTTGTATCATCGTGTGAAACCAAGAAATAGAAAGTGCAATCTTAATTATATTATGCATCCATACATTTTCCTGGCTTTGCAACCGACTCAAAGCCTTGTTTCGTTGGCCATTGCGAAGGGTGCCCTTGGCAAGGTCATGCATGCCCTGTACCTATGGAGAAGATTGAGAGGCCAAACCCTCCTCCATTGACACGCATATATTTGTCCAAACGACTTCAGCTCAGCTGTGTCATGTGCTGGTGTCCAACAAAAGCAAAGGAATATGAGCTTCTGGCCGTGGAAGACACCTTGGACATGACTAACCATTACAAGCCCTTTTGTCTTTATAATAAGGCGAGACTTTGGATGACCCACCGCTTCATACAAGTTCTGTACAACCAGGTTAGCTGAGAGACGCGTGCAAGTTACAATACATGGCCCGAGGGATATATGCTCATTCATTAGGCTCCATGGTCCACTTAGATAGAGAAATGGCTCCTCCATGCTTGACTTTTTAATATATATATATATATATATATATTTTTTTTTCCCTATTGAAAAATCCACAGAGCAATCAACATCCAAGTTGAAATTGAATGAATCCCATTCAATGTAACTCAAATGGTCCAAGTATTTTTAAAATGCATTTGCTCTTGCATTCAATATTTCATTAACTATTGTGACCAAATTTATTGCCATTAAATCCAAACTGAGTTGTTCAGGCGAGAGTATTTTTATAAAAAGATCACTTATTTGTTCATATATCTCATATTTTCAGTGCTATCTTTTATACACTTTATATTTACCAACCAAAAAATAAAAAAAATTCAAACGGACTGTGTCAAAATGAAAATTACTATATTTACCAAACTTGTTAAGGTATGCAAACAACAACCTAATTCTCCTCAAACTGTAAAAAAAGCCCGTAGGAAACTCCACTGGGCCCAAACAAACTCCACCTGAACTAAAACTCACCAATTGCCAACTAGTCTAATCACAACATAGAGATCCCATTCCCCACATGGTTAAATAGTCCAACAGAGCATCCAAAGACACATTACGAAAAGACCTCCCATCAACCTTTAACCCATTTCTCAACATGTTAATGTTATATGAGTCTTTTGGCTGAACAACCAATGTATCGGTGTACTATACTTTTTAGCTCTCGAGTTGTGTATTATACTTTTTAATTCTCGGGTTAAAAGATTAAAATTTGACCGTTGATAAAATAACGCACTGTACGTTGAATGTACTACATAATTACATTAATGTGAAATAACAAATAGTAATCTTTGGAGTCCTTTTGTAGTGCAATGTACTTTTTAACCATCGAGTTAAAAGATTAAAAAGATTATAATTTGGCCGTTGATAAAACAACGCACTTGTGCATTGAATGTGCCACATAATTACATAATGCCAAGTGACGAATCACTCAACAACCAATTAGGTATATATATATATTTTTTAAAACGGATCTAGTGCTCTATAAAAACAGAAAAAAAGACATTAATCTGCTGTAATTCCGTGGTGTTGTGCAGCATGTCCCTTCTTATTCCAATTCCCATCACAAACAAATGGTGTCACACGTGCGAAGACCGACAACAGTCTCCTACACATGCTTGACCAGTACATTTTCCAACCTCATCAACCCCACCGGACACTCAGTGAGCAGCAGACCCACAAACACAGAGAGTGAGAAAAGCAAAAGAAGAAAAAAAAAAAAAAAAAAGAAAAAAGAAAAAAGACTAGTCTCTCCTCTGTATATCTCTCACATATTCAACAGATCCCACCCAAAAGCAAAAGCGCTCAACTTTCTCTCTCTACCTGTCTACAGTCTCTCTCTCTAGAATGCAAACATTGCTTCTTCTTAGTTCATCCTTATCTTTTGATTTTTCAGCCTCACCAAACCCAATGATACCCATTTCCACCGCTTCAATCTGAGGAGGAGCGTTTCATTTATTTTCCTTTTCCTCTTGGTTTGTTTCAAAAGATGAGCTTTTTTGGGTTTTGGGTTTTTTCTTTGAAGCCCTGCTGAGTCTTCTTCCTTCTCAAGAGGTAAACTCTCTCTCTCTGAACCGCTTAGCATTCCCCTGCGCCGACATTGTTAGGGTTCTTTCTGATGCTTTATGTTGTCTTCACACTTTTGTTTATTTTTCTGTTTTCTTCATTTTCTTTTTTCTGGGAAAAGCTTAATGAAAACAAAAGAAAATTTTTGGAGACTGCAAATTTTAAGTTCCGAATAGGAAAGTAATGTTTTGGATTTAGTCATAGATATGTTTGCTTTCGGTGGTCGCAGAAAAGGAAAATTATTAGTATCAAAGCATGTTCAATTTTTCCTGCTTTTCGTCATTTTTCTCGGTAGCCAAACACAATATATAAAAACACATCGAGTCTCGCACTCTGCTATTTGTGTTTTGTAACTTTGGGTTGTTTGTTGTTTCAGATCTGAAGCTTGGGTTTCTCCGCCGCTACGAAGGTTACTCTTAAAACTTGGACCTTTCATATTCTGTTATGTATGCATCCAATATTTAAAGATCTAAGTTATTCTTTCTGATTTAGTGTTATTTATGAAATGTTTTGTGCTGTTAGTTTCAGATGGCTTTTCGTTTTGAGTAATGGATATGGTAATTTGTAGTTAACAATAACACCCTGTTTCGTGTTATTAATTTAGTTTAGATAGTGCCCTTTTTTTTAATGAATATTCCGAGATTTAGGTGGCTTGGCTTTTGGTTTTCCTTATAACTAACGGCTATTAAACTATTTTTTCCGATGTTTTAGGTTCCTGGAACTTTTGAATTAATTCAAAAACAGTTAATCTTATTCTATCCAACCGTTCAACTTCAACTTCAATCTTTGCCATTTGGGTCTCTCTGTTTTTGAACCCACAAGATGCAGAGACCACCCCCAGAAGACTTTGCTTTGAAGGAGACCAAACCCCACCTCGGTGGGGGGAGGATCTCTGGTGATAAGCTCACGAGCACCTATGACCTTGTTGAGCAGATGCAGTATCTCTATGTCCGGGTTGTCAAGGCGAAGGACTTGCCTGCGAAAGATGTTACTGGTAGTTGTGACCCTTATGTTGAAGTTAGGCTTGGAAATTATAAGGGTGCCACTCGACATTTCGAGAAGAAGTCGAATCCGGAGTGGAACCAGGTTTTTGCATTCTCGAAAGATCGGATTCAGGCTTCGGTTCTTGAGGTCATTGTGAAGGACAAGGATGTTGTGAAGGATGATTTCATGGGTCGTGTTTCTTTTGACCTGAATGAGATTCCAAAACGGGTACCTCCTGATAGTCCTCTAGCACCGCAATGGTATAGATTGGAGGATAGGAAGGGGGACAAGGTTAGGGGAGAGCTAATGTTGGCTGTTTGGATGGGCACCCAAGCAGATGAAGCTTTTCCTGAAGCATGGCATTCAGATGCTGCTACAGTTAGTGGGGCTGACAGTCTCTCAAATATTCGGTCAAAGGTGTATCTCTCTCCTAAGCTTTGGTATTTGAGGGTTAATGTGATTGAAGCTCAGGATTTGCAACCGAGTGATAAAGGTAGGTATCCTGAAGTTTATGTGAAGGCTATCCTGGGAAATCAGGCTTTGAGAACTAGGATTTCTCCAAGCAGGAGTATAAATCCTATGTGGAATGAAGATTTAATGTTCGTAGCATCAGAACCATTTGAGGAGCCCCTGATTTTGAGTGTGGAGGACAGAGTAGCACCTAATAAAGATGAAGTTCTAGGAAGGTGTGCAATTCCCCTGCAGTATGTGAACCGAAGGTATGATCATAAACCTGTGAACACTAGTTGGCACAATCTTGAGAAACATGTTATTGTAGAAGGGGAAAAGAAGAAAGAAATTAAGTTTGCAAGCAGAATTCATATGAGGATCTGTCTGGAAGGTGGTTACCATGTCCTTGATGAATCAACACACTATAGTAGTGATCTTCGACCAACAGCAAAACCGCTGTGGAAGTCCAGCATTGGGGTTCTTGAAGTGGGAATTCTGAATGCTCAGGGGTTGATGCCAATGAAGACGAAAGATGGGAGGGGTACAACAGATGCTTATTGTGTGGCGAAATACGGGCAGAAGTGGGTTCGAACAAGAACCATTATTGATAGCTTTACTCCCAGGTGGAATGAGCAATATACATGGGAGGTTTTTGATCCTTGTACTGTCATAACTATTGGGGTATTTGATAACTGTCATTTGCATGGGGGAGATAAGGCTGGAGGGGCCAGGGATGCAAGAATTGGGAAGGTAAGGATTCGTCTCTCCACCCTTGAAACTGATCGGGTGTACACACACTCGTACCCACTTTTAGTTCTGCACCCAAATGGTGTAAAGAAGATGGGTGAAATTCATATGGCTGTGAGGTTCACTTGCTCTTCTTTGCTTAACATGATGCACATGTACTCCCAGCCACTGTTGCCAAAAATGCACTATATTCATCCATTAACTGTAAGCCAGCTCGATAGCTTGAGGCACCAGGCCACTCAGATTGTATCAATGAGGCTGAGCCGTGCTGAACCACCACTGAGGAAAGAAGTGGTAGAGTATATGCTGGATGTGGGCTCTCACATGTGGAGTATGCGAAGAAGCAAAGCTAACTTTTTCAGGATTATGAATGTTTTGGGTGGGGTAATTGCTGTTGGAAAATGGTTTGATCAGATCTGTACTTGGAAAAACCCCATTACAACTGTACTCATCCACATCTTGTTTATAATTCTGGTCATGTACCCAGAGCTCATATTACCTACAATTTTCCTCTACCTCTTCTTGATTGGAGTTTGGTATTATAGATGGAGACCAAGGCATCCTCCTCACATGGACACTCGTCTGTCTCATGCAGATTCTGCACATCCTGATGAACTTGATGAAGAATTTGATACATTCCCTACTTCACGGCCTTCTGACATAGTAAGGATGAGATATGATAGGTTGAGGAGTATTGCTGGGAGAATCCAGACAGTGGTTGGTGACTTGGCTACTCAAGGGGAGAGACTGCAATCTTTGCTAAGTTGGAGAGACCCGAGAGCAACATCACTGTTTGTGCTTTTCTGTCTGATTGCTGCCATTGTTTTGTATGTTACACCATTCCAGGTTGTGGCTCTTCTCGCTGGATTCTATGTGTTGAGGCACCCAAGATTCCGTCATAAGCTTCCTTCTGTGCCGCTGAATTTCTTCAGGAGGTTGCCGGCTAGAACTGACTGCATGTTGTGAGGAAGGATTTTATCTTCAGTTGCCTTTGAGTGGCACGACATTCTATTTTCCGCCATTTCGTGTTAAGTTAATGAAGAAGATGCTGTACCTCATTGAGCCGTTTTGTTTTGAATGCTCAGCAGCAATGAACATGGAGAACATGTTCTGGTATGATGTACGTATGACCTTGTCTTGAAGGTGGTAGTTTTTTAAAATTGTCAGTTGATTATGCCATCAATAGGATTTCTGTTTAAAACTTTAATTTAAGGCGACTAGCTCATGTTCATTTGTAATTTTGTAGGCTGTGATTGGAATGCTGAACCATTATGTGCTTATTTACATCTGTAGTATTTTTCTTTCAACTCATCTTTTGGTTTAAGTTCATCAGGTTGAGCTTTTACTTTTGGTGCCTTTCTTGTGATAGCTTGATGGTTTGTTACATCTTTTTTTTTTTTTTTTTTTTTTTTTTTTTTTTTTTTTTTTTTTTGAATCTTTTGGTATAGAGAATATATTCTGTTTTTGCCCAAACTAATTGACATGTCCTGAGGATGTTAGTTATGGTATCATGTGTAGGGTTGAGTGTGTGGTTCAAATTGGCAGTTTGGTGAAATTGGTGACAATTTGACAAGAGATGATTATGAACCATCAATGGTAATTGCCAAACTTGAATGTTTTGCATATATATATATATGTTTCATTCCAATAGGGAATGATGCATAATGAGTATACTTTTGCCATTGCCAACTAAAGTAGTACTTTTTTCCCAACAAAGTATAGGCTACCTAACTTCACTTTGGATGGCTAACCTCAAAATGTGGTCTTATTAAATTTCAACATCTCTCTCTGGTTTGGTGTGATTTTATGGACGTAGATCTGTTCCAGAATTTATTATATGGTCATCTGGAATTTGGGGACAGCGATTTAATAATATATGCAACTACCTACATCTGCATATTATATATAGCAGAACCAATATAAATGCATGTGGTCTATGGTGTGTTGACAGTGACACAAATGATTAGGGAAAAACAGGGACAGTTGGTTTAGCTCAACTTTGATCCTATTTTACTCCAATAGAAAATTTACAAATTTATAAATAAACTCAATCCTAGACATGTATTTATAAAAAAACCCAAACACTATTTAAACATAGAAACACACCCAAAATCAACAATTGTATATTTTTTTGGGTGTGTTTATAAATGGGTTTTGAGTGTGTGTAATGATGAGTTTGGGTGTGTTTATAAAGTGTTTTGGGTGTTGGGTTTTTTTATAATTTCAGCCCCCATTTTGGGTGTTTTAGTGAAACTCCCTAGAAAATTCAAGTAATGGGGGCAGACAAAGATTGCTCCTGCAATTATGGGTTTTTCTAATCTTTTGTTTTTTAATTGTTTTAAAATCTCCTTTCCTTTGAATACAGTGCTTAGTAAATGCTTTGCTTAAAGAACAAATATTATGAGTTGAGTGCTGCAAATGATCCTGAAATATTTCCACTCTTTTGTTTTTTCTTTCGTACAAGCGATACTGGGAAGGGAGAATCGGACTTTGGATGCATGGGAAAATGCTCTTTTTAACTTGTGAACATTTACACACTACAAGAAAATAGTTTTATTAGATGAAAATAGTTTTATTAGATGGTGTAAAGCTGCGTAATGGTAGAGAAAAGTTACCCGGTGTTTAAAGTAAAAAATGTTAAAAGTCGAGCATTTTCACCCTCTTTACCGGAGCCTGTCTAATATTCCACAACAGTTTTGAGAACACTAGGACCAATATCAGAAGGCCTACGAGGAAAAATGGGCATTGATTCCTTGAATTCAATGGCCTTTTCTGAGTTCTAGGTAGGTTGGGGGGGACCCTTCTGTGCTTTATTTTTTCTTTACAGCCTGTGTAACCAATACTTTTCTACGTCTTTTGTTTTATATGTTTAGAAGATGCTATATAAATATAGAACCCAATTTGTTTCTGAGTTTTTCTCTCTCTGTTTTCTTATCTCCAATGGATCCCAAGTAGATCCCATGGTATTATGGATCTCATCTCACAGGATATGGGTACAAAGTTGAAATGAAAATAAACTTTAGTTAGTAAAAGCTGAAACTCGATAAACTTCGAAAGGTAATGTAATCCATACTCATTGAGATAAAAACATAAGTTGACATGTACAAATCACTTGCCACATCATAATTTTGATCTTAAAGCATTAATGGAAATGTATTGCAATCACCAATTTAAACCCTACCTGCCTAAACACAAGTGTAAATTGTTAGTTTGGGCTGAAACTACAGAAATTAGGGGAATAACATAGTTGTGGGCTGGCTAGGCTTTAGCCAGACCCAAAGGTTTTTCAATTTCTCTTGCACTTTTAGTACACACCCCGACCAATTCTATATCTCAGCCCATCTTGTATTGAAGTCATTCGGAAGTTTGAAGCATAAAAGTAATTATAAAAGTATTAGGGCTTAGCTAAGTTGGCTAGAACACGGCCCTATTCTGCATTCGAGTTCAAATATTTATTCTCGTAATTTAGATTAAATTAAAATAAAATATCACTTGCGTAAATATAAGGTACTACTTGATGCATTTATAAAAGTAATTCCAGTACATGCCATATAATATAATCAGAAATGTAGTCTAATTTTACTCTTATTCAAATGCGGCCGTATAACACAAAGCAAATGCAGAGAGGTAAGCTACAAGCTTATAGCACTAAACTGAAGGTACGCAAGAAAAAAAGTTAATTAACAAAGATATCTAGTTAACGCTTTAGAAAATTGAACTTCTAACCAAAATGAATGCGTAGAGTTTATGTAGCTGTATACCTAGATTTGAGCTCATGCCTAAGCATGTATACACGGAGAGAGCCTAATAATATTACTTTATGTTAGCATATTCAACATTTAACGCATTGGTAAATTTTTTAGAGTAATGCTAGAAAGATCACATTTGTGTATTATAGGGAAAAAAAAGAAGGTATTATTGCATTAAGAAATGAACGATATTATTTTTTTTATTTTATTGATTACAAAATAACTCACGCCCGGTTAGCGCATAAGAACAAAAACAAGGACACAACCCCAAAATTTATATTAGGGTTAGTCATTTGTTCTCTTAAACAAAACAAAAAAAAAGGGCAATATAAATTTTCATTCTTCTCAATCCCATGCACCAAAATAAGTTAGTGTGTTATATCACTAACATTTCTTAGTGCATGTACATCTTAGCCTGAAGCCAGCACATTTGCCTTCCAAGAAGCCCTCTTTTTTGCAAGTATGTGCACAGTTGCTTGATCGGAAGCAAAGTCCCTTGAATTTCGTGCTCAGAGACTCACAAGTCCTCGACTTTTCCTTTGTTGCGGCCTTGCCCTCAGCAACCATTGGACCCGTCCCTACCAAAGATGCATCGATAAATTAACGAGAGAAGGTGGATTCAAACTTGAAACGTCTTTCAGTATTGAAAAGAAATATACCACTATTCAAATATAAAGATAGAATTAAAATGAGGAAAGAGAAAAATACCAATAGCCACAAAGAGCAGGACGAGGATGAAGACAGTTGAAAACATACGTCCGGATCGCTCCATCTTGAATTGTGTGTGTGTATTTGCACGCCTATGAAAAAGAGAGAGAGAGAGAGGGTTGTTGAATGTTGATTCAAGATGTCTTGATTCAAAGGTGAACCTTCGAAGGCTTTTTATATGGAGTTGTTATGAAGCAAATTAAGCGCATTGCCGTGAAGGGCGGTCCTCGGTAAAAATAGAGAGTTGAAGGGCAAATTTCAGCTCCATGAACACCTCCTTATTTAGGCTCACCATTTGTTAGCATCCTACATTTGAGGAGAGCTCTATTCTCCTCCCTAAAATTTAAACAGTTCTTTTGTTAAAATTGGTCCTTGCAATACATAATCTTTGAAGCAAGATCAAATGATCATATCTTCAGTTAAAAATAATAATAATAATAATAATAAATTCATGACTAATGTTCTAAAAATGTTAATTATATTTCCGTTGTCCACTTAACAGCGAATCATGAAAGCCATGGCAAATTCCTGTTACATGTTTGGTTGATGTAAAGAAGTTAACGAATTAATAATGTAACATGAAAAGAAAATTACAAATTGCGACGTTGACAACTTAATAATGTAATGCTATAATTTTCAAAAATTAAATTATTAATGTTAAATATTTGATGAGAGAAATAGAGACATGGTTATATTAAAACAATGATGAAGAAGAAAAATTCTTTATGCTATCTTACTGATGGAGTAGACGACATTCTATTGGTTTTAGTTCTGCTTGAAATCTAATTTTACATTCTATTGGCAGATAATTTGGAGGGTGGTTCTGCTTTGGATGTAAAATTATTATTTACCAAATTGATTTTCAATCTATGTATGTGCTTTTGCCATTGCTACAGTATAACTTGTATGATTTAAATTTTGTACTTTATGTTTCAGATGAATGAATTAAAATTTTAATTTGAACAAAAGTTAGAAATTTTAAATTGGGATTTTTAGGTCAAATGGTCCCTAAATTTTGATCCGATTCATATTTTAGTTCATCAATTTCCAAAATTGTTACGGTCGTCCTCTAACTTCAATTTCGTTAGAAATAAAGGTTCTATCCTCTGTTTTATCAAATTTATCTATTAATTTAGAAGTAAATGGGTCTTTTTAAGTCAAATTCCGACGCACATCGCGTGTGTGATCCAGACTGTGTGGTTAATCTTATTATTTCCAACTTGCGCAAAGGTCTTATATTCAATTAGAGTGTGGATTAGGAAATAATGTATAAGCAATAAGATGGTATTCGTATTTGATAGAAGAAGACAAAGACTTAGAAAAAAAGCATGGCCCATTGTCAACTCTTTTACTTTACTTTTTTCGTTTTTATAAACCATTTTTTGAGCTCAAATCCTCAGTTCTGTCCCCCCTCTCCCTCTCCCTACCTCTCTTCATGAGGTTCCAAGGGGACTTGCTAGATTCATTTTCTGCATCTTCTTCTCTCTCTCTCTCTCTCTCTCTCTCTCTCTCTCTCTCTCTCTCTCTCATCCACCTTGTACCCCTAGAAGCTTACTGCCACTGTTATGAGCTTCAATTATTGTAAGTTAAATTCTTTCTTTAAATGGATCATCTCTTCAATCCCAGGTTCATAGGGCTTCACACTTACTCTAAATTTCAGTGTTTTTTTATTTGGTTTTTGCAGTATGCTAGTTTAGCAAGCTTCCTACTATTCTTGTTAATAGTTCAGACTTCAGAGGATTTTGCATGATTAACAAGCTTCAGATATGGTCAACTCCTGTGATGAAACAATAGTGTTAAGGTAATTAGTTTCTTTCTTTGGCATATTTCATTTTTGCCCTTTAAATAAATGTTTATCAAACAATATGACTTGGTATTTGCAGTGGCTTTTCAAAGTAATTCATATATATGGGAAGGAACTTACATGTAATTATTTCAAAAGTTTAGCTGTAAATATTATCTGTACCATATTTACTCGCTTCTACTAGAGTGTCGGCATATGATACCCCAAAAAAAAAAGCAGAAATACAAATAATTGTTGTAACGTGGTCCAAGGGCCCAAGCCTATATGTATTGAAGGCCCACTTGTTTATTGGGTTCTAACTAGTAGTTTTGGTTCGTTTTATGTCAATTGAATTCTAGAGGGTGAGTAACATATATATATATATATATATGATAGAAGGATCATTTTGACATTTAAATACAGTCCCTTTTATTGAGAGATTTTTAAATTATTTTATTTAAGGAATACATTTAAGGTGCACTACAAATTTTATTTCAACGATCAAAACAATCATAATTGTTTGACCACCTAAAATATGCTAAGAAACATGATAAAACTCAGACGAAAATGTGGTCAATCAAATGACTCAAAGATGGAGTAGTACGTACTAATCATGTAAGAGCTAATGTTTCTTTTGACGAAATGTGTGCAATTTTATGTTCCTTGTGTCTTTTCAGCGTTCAACCTGACTGGGATTTAATTGAGGATCCAGGATGGGACTTAGTAGAGGAGGTGAGGCCGAGGCCGATTCTCACACACAGTGCACCGGCACGCCGGAGGTCATTAAAAGAAGAAATCCTCGACCGTCTCCTTTCAATATGGAAGAAGACATTAAAAATATCAAGGGAGTTTCTTGGACCTCTCCTTCCAATATGGAACAAGATATTTGTAATATCATGTGTGTTTGCTGTTTTGATGGATCCTTTGTTCTTCTACACTCCTGTCATCAACGAGGACATGAAGTGTCTGGAGTTGGACAAAAACCTGAAGAAATAGCTCTTGCTTTACGATCTGTTACAGATCTCTTTTATCTTGTCGATATTATTTTTCAAATTTATCAACTCAACGTCACGTCCAAGATATCAATAAATGGTGCCACATTTCGTTTGGAAAGAGTTAAATCTGCTAAGAAGATTTTGCTGTCATGCATTGTAATTGACACTTTTGCTGTTCTCCCCGTTCCACAGGTAAGACCAGAATTTCTTGGAGTAAATTATTTTCCAGTTTCTTTCAAAATTTGACATGTATATTTGAAAGTAGGAAAAGTATTCACACTAGATTGAATTCTTGGCTAAAACGAATATTGCATTGTATGCAGGTAGTATTTTTCATATATTTTACAAAAAGAAGAGGCTCAAGATCTTTCATAAGGATGTTTATAAACTCTCTTATTCTGTTTCAATATGTACCACGAGTTCTTCGCATCTATCTATCTGGCAATACTCCCATTATACAGACTCGAGTAGGAATATTGGTTAAAGCTGCATTCAACTTTTTTCCATTCATCCTTGCTGGCCATGTAAGTTTCAGTATACTCTTTCAAATCATTTCAATTTTAGACTATTAATGTTGAATTATCAATGGTTAATTAGGTTGCATTTCTCCGAAAGAGCTTAGGTTCTCTGTAAATGAATAATCTAACAATGTATCTATGAATTATAAGAAATATTAAGAATCACTTTTCACTAGTGTAAGACGAGGGGATGCTTATCTTTATTCTGTAGATTATATTACCAAATATATATACAAAGACACACATATGTATTACACATGTATCTGGATTTTCTGCTTGGATTTTCTCTGCCATGATATGCTTGACTTTCAATATGAGACTGACACACATCTGTTGAGCGAGCATTAGGCACCAAATTTAGGACCTAATCATGTTTTGATGCTAATTACATTGATTTCATAAATTTGAGGCTTTTTTCTTTAAGATTCATTAATGTTATTTTTTCTCCCTTTCATGGAGTTGATAATTTTTTATTCATACCTTTTGAATGTTCCGTGAAGTTAGATCATTAACTACCTTGTTGATCATACAGATACTTGGAGGCCTATGGTATTTTTTTGCTATTCAACGAGAGAGAGCTTGTTGGGAATATGGATGTCGTGAAAATGGATGTGGATCTGCTATTTTGATTGTAATAGTAATATATTTAGAAATGTCACGCTTCTAAATGTTTTATGCCCTACAAATCCACCAAATGCAACACTCTTCGATTTTGGTATATTTCTTGGCGCTGTTCAATCTGATATGCTGAGATCAACAAATTTTTCGAAGAAGTTATTGCAATGCTTTTGGTGGGGTTTACGAAATCTGAGGTTTGCAAAACTCCGCTCTTGATTTTTTTATAATATTATATGGATACATCAACTTCTAAACACCAACTGGTGTCTAAAAATTGTTGTAATAAGTAGGTGTTCTAGTATTACACCAAACTGTTGCGTCTAACATATTGCTCACTTCCACTTTTTCAGTTCTTTAGGGCAAAACCTCGAGCCCAGCAGTAGCAACCAGTGGGAAAACGTCTTTGCTGTTTTTACACTTTTAAGCGGCATGATGCTATTTTTAATATATCTCAATGCAACTTTGCAGGTAACCATTGGTGCTGAATCTTTATATCAATTTAGCATGAATGCGTATGCGTGTGTGTTTTCTGGTAGTTCATACAATGAAGCACTGAACCTACATTTTGTATGGAATAGACATTAAGTGTGCAGTTGGAGAAAATAAGATCAGATGAGCGTATATTCAGACGGAAGATGCAGCTGATAAGTCCAGAGATCGATTTATGGTTATCTAAAAACGACCTCCCTAAGGATCTGAAGATGGTTTCGGGCCGAACAGAAAAACATCTCAGGACGGTAATCGTAGAAAACGTACAACGACACCTTCAAGAAAACAAAGATGTTGATGTGGAGAATATCCTCGCTGTTCTTCCCTTGAGACATAGAAGAGGTATCATGAGCCTTCTCCGCTTGACATCACTAAAGAAAGTGAGTACTATGCTAATTCACTACCAAATTCGAAAGTAATTAATTGCATGAAGATATATTTGTGTCTGCGTGTAGATTTCTTGTGAAGAGATTCAAAAGGATTGCAGCGGGTTCAGTTCTTAATGCGGTTCAATTATACATGTCACCCACTTGTGCTCAAAAGATCATTTTTTAAAAAAGGCTGAAAATCTTAAGTTATTTATTCATCTAACTATGATTGAGTAAATAGAGGAACACATTGTTTCCAAACATTGAACATTAAAATACTCTTATGTGGAATAGTAAAAGTTAGATGATTCGGATCAGTGAAATCTATTGCAGAGTGACCGTGACGAAGTAAAATATGTATAACAGAATCCTTCTTAAAAATCAGCAAAATGGGAAATCCGTTTGACAATAACAATCTAATTAATGTATATATATGATATTGATTGGTAGGTGTCGATGCTTGAAAGTATGGATGAAAAAGTGTTGAAAGCAATCAGCGAGCATCTGAAGCTGGAGACCTATAACGAGGGCAGCTACATTGTTCCAGAAGGGGAACCACTTGAGAAGATGATGTTCATCACACAAGGCACCGCATGGAGCTACCCACCTACACCTAGTAGTAAGGGTGGAATTACAATTACTACCCCAAACACGAAGTGGCTTGAGAAGGGTGATTTTTATGGAGAAGAACTTTTAATTTGGGCATTAAAATCTACCCCCTCTTCTGAATTACCCATGTCGACTAGAATTCTCAAGTCCCAAACAAAAGTTGAAGCATTTGCTATAAGGGCTAAGGACTTGAAGACCATTGTTGCTAAGTTCTGGTGGCATTTTAGGGCGGAGCTCCGTCACTTAGAGGAATTTCAATTAGAGCATTGGCATAATTTGGCAGCTTCTTCCGTACAAGAAAATTGGCGCCGCTATTGTGCAAGGGCTAATAAGCGAAAGCTGCGAAATTGGAGGAGTAAATTTATCCAAATAAATTAGTATAAAAAAAGAAAAAGAAAAAGCAACTTAACTAGACAAAATCGACTCCCTTATTAATCTATCTTCTTCTTGTTTTGGTAAATCATTATACTCTTTGTGATGAGCCGTATCCCCCATTAATTCAAGAGGTATTGGTGTTGCAAATTTTGGGGTCCGATAGGGGCATATATATCGGAAATATACCCTATTTAAGCTAAACATGGAATGTAAACTTTATGAATTTTTCATATATTATTTTATAAATAATTTAATAGAAAAAAATATGTTGATTAAAGTGGTTGTCCCAATAATCGTTAATTACCGGATTAACAAGTTCATGACATGTGAGATGAGAGAAGTGATCTAAACAAGTTGGGTTCAAATGACCTTTCCATATGCCTCGATATATTTTATAAATTGTAAGGAAACCGCAATGTGAAACTAGTATGAAATTTAGAAATTCACACATTCTATTCTTTAATTTGGACCCGTGTAATGAGCTTGGGTTGACCTACGTGGCCCATATATCTTTATGCGAGACACAACTCCTTACTGATACACAGTATAAAGTGTAAAATGATTCTATTGGATCCCCAAATTTGCTTACTGGGCTCCTCAAATTTGATTTTTTGATTGTTCACATTAAATACTTGAGCTACATATCTACAAACAAAGCACTAAAAGATTTTTTTAGTAAAACTTCGACACCACGATGATAGATTTATTGAAAATCAAGAAATACAACAGAGACATGAAATTGATCTCGATCCAACGAATAATACAAAAAGACGTCTTAAATAAAATTAGGATCCACCTCAACCCAAATCAACGAAACTTCTTTAAACAAACCAAATTTAGCCAATCTATGTTGAATATGTCCAAAAGCACTAACAACATGTTATGGTCAATTAGATATATGCCAAACAGGAATCTGGATTAATTGGGTATGTTTCAATCAATTTGCAGGAGGATTAAAGTCATTTTATAACTTGAAGAGAAACATGGTTTTCTATCAATAGGCAGTTGCCCATTGGTAAGAAGCCAAGTGAGAAGTGGATCTTCTGAAATCTGAACTGGGAATTTGTGTAGAGCCAAACAGAAAGGATAAACCTGCCATTCAACGTGGTTGACAGCTGAAACAGAAATCATGGGAAATTGCAGAACAATGCAAAACCAACCACAGAGATTTACTATATTTAGAAACTGGAAAAAGGTCGCTTCTGGGGGCCACTTGGGAAAAAAGATTTGGGTGCAATTATGAAGCCCATATCGGCCTTCTCCCTAAAATTAAGGATCCATATGATCTATCCTATCCTTCCCATTGATCGAAAGAAAGCAAAAGTCTCAAAAGCCATTGCAACAAAGCAAGTCTCAAAAGCCATTGCTAAATTTAGCAAAAATCTTTTTACCTCCCCCACCATTTCCCCACACAAAAATTAATGCATGAAATTTTGGTCTTCAGATGCCCCATAGATTCCTCACCACTTACAATTTCGAATCAAAAGACAATCCGTACACTACAGATTTTGCTCAATGCTCCTAATTTTGTGTGAGTTCCACTTATTTTTTAATTCATTGATGTGAAGTAAACACATGAATACTTTATAAATGGAATTCAATTCCTATAAGAATTTCAATTCCTGATTAGTAAACACACCTTAAGGTAATTTTGTGTACGCATGAATATACTGCATTCAATACTAATACATACTTTTTTAGTATACGGAAGTCTTACATAATTTTCTTAGCGTCAACAACACAATGCCCTATTCCAAGAGTGATAGTTGTTAGAGGAGGATTGTGACACTTGGCATAAGATTAGAAGATGTGATAGTTAGTTAGTTAAGATGGCTGTGTATAAGTAGTGTATTCTGATTTACCTATTCATTGAGAAAGAAAGTTCATTTTTCTGTGCTCTCTCTCTCTCTATTCCAGATATCTCATTCTCTCTCTCTAGAAATTGTTCTTCATAGTTCTTCTTTTGATATTGGTTAACAATAGTCTGATAGATGACATCAACAGCACAACAGAAGACCCGTTATGATTGGTTACTGCATATATTAGGCACGCTTGATCAAACTTGGCAGAATCTAATACTTTAAATAGTTGGAAACCCAAGTTAATGTACCCAAAAGTGTAACACATACATGAATCTGATCAAATATAAACAATGCAATTTGATTTTCATAAAAGAAAGACGCACATTGCTATTTGACTTTGTTTATTGTAAAGTTTTTTTAAGAAAAGTTGGTTTAAAATGATTTGAATAATTAATTGCACCATTAAGGAACATTCTCTATTCGAGGGCAACAAGATTCGGCCACCATACCCTTTGATTAATTATACATGATATTGATAAACAACTACATTTTGCATTGAGTCTCTAGGGGGGCTCTGCTGAATATGTCCAACTTCCACATTTATATTTTCTAACACAATCTGATGGCTCATTAATTTCCCAACATAATTTTTTTTTAATAGCTTTTTATTATAAATGGTTTAATGAGGTTTGCGAAATTAACACTTTTTGTCCTTAACGTTTTTTATTTATTTACACTAATGGTTCTTAAGGTTACCCTCTATACATCAAAATAGTCCCTATCGTTAGCTTCCATCAAATTTTTTGTTAAATTGATGACGCGGCACATGTGTACAGCCACATGACTTTAAATAAAATAAAATCTATTTTAAAACTTAAAATCCAAAAAACAAAAAAACAAAAAAACTAGAAGACCTATCCCCTTTGCGTTCTCTCTCTACCAACGCCTCCCCCCCTCGCAGACCCACTATTTGTCTCTCTCTCCCTCCTCTTCCTCCCTTCTCTTTCTCTTTCTCTGCTGGTAGAGGGAGAACGCAAAGGGATGGTGCATGTCTTTTTGTTTTTATTTATTTATGGATTTAAGTTTCAAAATATTTTATATTTTATTTAAAGCCACGTGGCTATATACAATTGGATGTCTGGGCTCTACACATGTGCCACGTCAATAATTTAACAGAAAATTTGACGGAAGCTAACGACAGAGACCATTTTGACGTGTGGAGGATAACTTGAAAGGCCATTAATGTCACAAAAAAATGTTATGGACAAAAGACGATAATTTCACAAACCTCAGAGACCATTTGTGATCAAGAGGTTTTTTTTTGTTTTTTTTTGGATAATGGTGTTTGTAGGACACAAACCCAACTAACAAGATGTGCGTAGTTGACCTATACACATTTCTAATTAAAAAAGTAAACCAAATATGTATTCCTATTCTTTCATTGGGTGCATAGGTTTTTTCTTTCAAAATAATATATAGCTCGATTCATTGAATTTGATCATATTGTCTCAATCATTAATTTCTTCCATGTCAATTATCATTATCGTGGTAAATAAATATGCGAGCATATTCTCAAAAGAGCAATTAATTAAACACATAAAGCTAGATAAATATATAATTTGTGAAATGTTGTCTTGTTAGTACAACAAAAGTCTAAAATCTTGTGTCGCTAAATCTCTTGACCATAATTGGTACGGTAGATTTTGTTAAATTTAATGCGTCATTTGGATATAGAACTTACAATGTTTTTTTAATACAGGTGATAGACTAAACTACAACGGAATGAGGTTTCTCATACACACACTATCAAGGTGCTATGAAGGTTTGAACTTGAGATAACTAGTATGTAAGTCAATTTTCTTTTCCACTCGACCCCATTATTCAAACTACAGAGAAGAAAAGTGTAGTTTTGCCAAGTTTTAACTATTGTAGTAGCCCTCATTATATTGCAGAGTTGCTTCTCATTAGAATATAAAACTTAAAATTTTGGAAATATATGGTAGTAAGTAAACTGACAAAGGAGAAGAAGTCTCAAGACAACATAACAAAACCAGTAGTGGAGTGGAATATGGTAGTTAACGGGAGATGGACTAATATAATTTTTTTCTTAATCCATATAGTTAACTAGTACTATATATTGACCATTCAAATGCAGGTGAATTATTGCAACTAGGTCAATAATTAACTCCAAATACAAATTATTATCCGGTTGGTAATTAACTAGTAAATTAGCAACTGTTAAAAAAAAATTCACACGTCAACCAATAAAATAAAGGGAGTTTCACTAAAACACCCAAAATGGGAGTTGAAATTATAAAAAAACCCTAGCACTATTTAAACATATAAATATACCCAAAACCCATCATTACACACACTCAAAACCCATTTATAAACACACCCAAAAAGTTGACTTTGGAGTTGATTTTGAGTGTGTTTCTATGTTTAAATAGTGCTTGAGTTTTTTTATAAATACATGTCTAGAATTGAGTTTATTTATAAATTTGTATAAAATATATAGCTAGATTTCTTGGTAGATTACTTAATTATTTTCATAATGCATGCGTTAAGTTCCTCAACTATAAACTCGTACGTGCCGGTTCACATTTGTCAACTTGAGGATTTCATTATAATTAAACTCATGGATTAATTGCTATAAACAATGAGAGTCAATGGCATATATGTGTCATGTCAAAATGTTGATCATGAATGCTTCCAAGTGTTGGCACACATGTTTTTAATGAAATTAGGGTTTATTTGGCATTTTAATGTCATTTTCAAGTTGGAAATGTCGACTCAGCCAATCAAAAGGATTTGGTAGAAACCCTAGCTACTCAATTGATGGCCTTAATTATTAACAACACATCACAATCACAATTATAATTATTAATTTTTTACTAATTCGTCGATGTGATCCGATCCACCTAATCCATAAGTTTTTTGTATTTTTATATACGTCATCATTCATCAAGTTGTCCGTTTCGAGAGGAAGGGTTGAACCATGGCCAAAAGAAATTAAAGATTAGGAATTAGGGTTAGAGTGGGGTTCCGGCAAGAACAAAACAAATATATAATTAAATGAAGAGGTATTCAAACCTTTATGCTTCAGGTCAAAGGGGTTTTTTGTGTGTGTGTTTTCCTTGCCCCTCTCTATTTATCTATACATATACCAAAAACCCTAAAACTTCCTTGATAATGATAGTC